TATGAATGTGTATCTAAGTTGAAAAACAGAGCACATTATTCCTTATTTTTGGAAGGGAGATACCTTGGTCACACAACGGCGTTATGGAAAAAACTGACACTCCTCATGTAACAAAAGGGCTGTGGTTTTCCTTCCAGAATATCCATGTGTCACTTTTAAGGCACATAGACAGGACTGCCAAATGGCAAAAGAGAAGCCAGTGAAAGGGTCAAACAATGTCAGTCCGTGGTACCTCTTCTGCTGCTGGATAAATGTTGTTGTCTAAAAATAGTAAATAGCACTCCTGATCCGAGACTGGTAAAGTGGGACAGAAAGACTTTAAATAAAACTGCATTGTCAGGAATCACAACACAAAACCACCAGCTTCTTCCAAACCCTAGAACTCCTACTACTTATTATATTTATATGAGATCAAAGCCGAGCAATAAAAAATAAGTAAAGCTAATCACCTAGATATCTCTTTTAGTAATATATATGCTAGAATCTCGTGCTTTTTGCCTCTTGCCTCTGTTTTATGTATATTCTGCATTCCCACTGCCTTAAGACAACTGGGAATTTGTTACAGTGAAAGAAAAGCCAGGGTCATTGAATTCATTAGTCCATGACAGTAAAGCAAGCTACTTTTCATAAGGTATGTACAGGCAGCATATGAACAGTAATTGGTAGCTATTTCAGAGTGCCTGGATAGTGTGTGTTTGTTACATTGTCATAAAATGTTGTAAATACATAGCTAATAAAAATGCCCAAACTGTAGATGCAGCCTTTCAATATGGGCAGGCTACCTCCCTTTAACTAAGAGGACTTGTTTCAATTCTGGACGCAGAACAGCATAGAACATCCTCATTCCTGGCATATAAACCTGTAAAGATTTTCAGGCTGATACCTGTTTTGCACACAGAGGACCAGCACTTCCTTGGCTCCAGCAGACCTACTGAATCCTGTATGGTTCCATCAAATGAGAGGAAAAAGAGAAAGCAAAGAATTAGAAACCACTGAGAATTAGAACACTGAGTCCAAAACTGTAGGGACAAGATGGGGACAAGGTGAGATAGCAGACAATGTGTGTCCTCCTTTCCACACCATCTCACACTCCTGAACTTTATTTCCAGATGATAAAGACAGGAACAGTGAGAGCTCTGCTATCCCCAAACACTGTCCCAGGCAGATGGTGGGGAGGAATTTCATAGTTGCTACAGATATTTTCACTCCAAATCCTCCTGGATGTGTCACAGTCATTACAGAGCACCTCTCTTACGAACATCTGCTCTTACACCCTTACCAGTGTTTAAAACTTGCTACCCTCAATCAGATCTTGAGCTTTGCTTTTAATAAAGCATGAATAAACACCTTCATCTATTAGCGTCCTTTCTGCTACTCTCCTAATAATGAAAAGGCAAAGGAATAAATAGCTTGTGATATCTTTTCTTACTTACAATCTGGCAAATATCTTCTCCTTTTAAGCAGTTTCTTTACTCTCTCTCCAAGTTATTCTCCACTACAGCAACATACTTTTTATGGACAAATAAATATCTCACAGTATCAACTCACCATGCATCAGTTCCAGTTCCTTATTACGAGGTTCATTTTTTTTTTTCCAGAGACATGCATAATTACATTATGCAGTAGAGCATCTATAAATCACCTATCATGTGGTCATATGTTCTAAGAAATTAACCTGCAACTGTTACCCACTTCAGAACTTCACCCCAGTTATTTCTAGCCATGAAATCTAGTCAAGAGTTAGTTGGCCAAATATGGACTACTGAAGCTGGGTTTTGGAAACAGTATTTGTCATTTATTTACCTAAGACCTACTTTCAAACCTCATCCCCACAGGCCTTCAAATTAATTTTTGACACAATACTTAAATCACCTTTTCATCTGAGAAACATTTATTTGGTAGTTAGTTCAGAAGCTGAGATTCATACTGCCTTTTCACATACTGCTCTGTGCACTGATGTCATCTGCTCCCCATCCTCACTTCCTGCAGCAAGCTCTAATGCAACAGGGCTGGTGAGTTACTATTACCACACAGGGAATAGATGGGCAACAAATGACATTTTCCTGACACTTTCCATAAGCAATGACTAATAGCTTTTTAAATTATCAAAACAGTGACAAAAATAAATTATATTAAAGGTTACACTTTCAGCACCTCCTTATTTGTAAGCACAAAATATGTCCACATAATTGTATCAGCTAATTAACTACACAGTTATTCCAATGCCTTTTCAAGTGCAGCTGCATATGCTCAAATATAGATTTTTCATATCTGAATGACTGGAAACATACAAACCAGAAGCCTGATGAAGATTTGTTTACTTAATCTAAAGGATATGGCATATTAAGTTACACATTCTAAATTTAAATTTTGCAAATTATTGCTATGGTATCCCTTTATACATCTGCATGAAAAGAATCACACTTGATTCACTGAAAATAAATCTGGTCAGAGACTATTATAAATGTTTATAAGACTATTCAGAATGTGAAAAAGCTCCTACAAACAGAAGAAGCAGACTGGTAAAATTGGTTGATACACAATTTATTTCAGTCATTCTATTTTACTGGCTTACATTCCTATTGTTCTTAAAACCTTTTCCTATGAGTTATTTAATGCTCAAATATTATTTTACATCCTCTCTTCTTTTTCTAATTCTGCAAACTGTATTGCTTGAAACTTCCAGTAAGTGCCTCCAACAGTTACAATTAACCTTTTTACGCCCCTTTTTCTCATATAATCACTTACCTTCTAGGAAAAAAGACTGGTATCAAATTTTCTTTCTGTTTATTAGACTTCTTTCTTACTGCTAGATGGCATGTGTAACCCTTAGGCTTACAGTTTACTAAGTTAACTGTCAGCACTTTTCATCTTCCCTCAGCTTCTTTTCCCTCCACAGTTTTATCTCATTTGATTATTCTTGGCATTTCTGAAAGCTGTCAAAATTTGGTCTGCTGAAATTCAATACTGGTGTGAGATGACGCAAGGACAGTCTATAACCCTGACATGAGATAATAACAGATTTTGAACACACCTCTCTAGTTAGCCTTGACTAGTCTTATTTCATCTGCCATTCAATGGCTAGCGTAACTAGAGCATGCTATACAAACCATAAAACCAGAAGTGCATTCTTTTCCTAGAAAAATATATATTTCCTTCCCTTTTCCAGCCAATGAAAAAACAAACATTTCTAAGGATTGTTTCTCACCACTTTTACAATACTCCAACTATTCTGAGGGAAGTCACACCACCTGACTGCTTTCCATTAGGTAGATGGATACAGGTAATTTCTTTTTTTTCCTCAGGAGGATGAGGCTAGCAACTTTCATATCAGACTACCAACATGCTGGAAAGTCAAATTTTAAACAAATACTCTGTACACCTACTCTAATTTTTGCTCTGAGAATTAGGTATTCCTCATTTCATAAACATGAGAAGCAATCATGTGGGGCCATAAAAGGGCCAAATATATAGAAAAATAAGATCTGATATTCTGTTGTGTCTGGCCTTCTGGCTCTACCCCAGTCACTTCAATCTACCTATGTCAGCGGCATACTACCACTTGCTCACCATCTCATGGCAGTGCTTCATGACTTCTTCAAGGCAACTCAGAGCATGAGATCAAGCTTAATGTAGCTTCAAATGATAATAAAATGAGCAATTTGCCAGACCAAACACAACTTCTTATCTCTTTCTACTAAGCCCCAGTTTCCTCCTTTCTGCACTTCTTCCCTGAGCCTGATGATCTTTCAAAAGCAGGAAGGAGGTTATTCAGAGAATCAGCATGCAGATGTTTCCAAGATGTGTCCACAGTTAAGCAAAGATTTTCCTTTGATTTTGTCCAGCTCAGGAGTGGATGCAATTTAATGGACTTCCCCCCTTATACATCCTGAAGATTCTTTCTTCTGCATTTTATTACTTCTGAAATGCTTTCCCAATGTTTTTTTGGGGTTTGGCCTAAAGTCTTGGTATGCTGCCTCCTAAACTTCTCCTCCAATATATGTTACTTGCCTTTAAATTGACAGTGTCTTTCCACTTTGGAAAAGTTTCAGTTAGAGGAACCATGAGATTCTCTATTTCCAGACCAAATCCATTCAGTTATCAAAAGCGAGAATTAGGTCTTCTACAAAATGAAGTTAGGGCACCCACAGAGGAAGCTGATCCGCTAAATACGGAGGTGCCATTTTGCACAGTGCCTTTTCAGAGCTGAACTGCCATATGCTGCTGTCTACTCCTCCTTCATCTGCATCCTCTCTGCAGGAAACCAGTTCTGTGTACTTCAGTCCACTAGCTCAGTCTTCCCCAAAACTGTGTGTACTTTACAACTGGTATCTACTTGCAGGCTAATGCCTTCTAACCTCACCCTGGGGTGCTGAAACATGTTTTCATCGCTTTAGGCACCCTTGGAAGGAGCAAATGCATTGCACCACACACACTGCACCACATAATGCAATGGAGACACAGACTCCTCTCAGAGTCCGTGGCAGGCTGAGTCATAGACACAAAGTGGCTGACAGGGAGAAGTGACAGTCTTTTGCTCCATGTCTGATGCTGTCATTTTGCTTTTGATGCCTTCTGAGTAGCACATGGTTGAGGAGGTGGAGGGAAGCCACAGGCAGCAGGAGAAGAGCTAAAGCTCTGTTAGGCCCAGCCTAAATCTGTCCTTCTAACATGTTATAACAAAACAACAGCTTCACTATACATTAAGGCTGAGCAGTACCCTTTGTACAAAGGCAGACTCTTCAAAGTGCTCTAGAACATCAGTGCCCACAGGGAGCCAGGACTGTCTAGGGCAATAATATTCAAAGTTCTCATAGCTTGGTCACTATCTTCTCTAACCATTCAGGCAACCAACCGCTACATTCCCAGACCATCAAAGGTGCAATAAGCTTTGAAATGGAAGCTCCATCAGAAACCTCCCTCTTGCAACCTCACCTAAGCCTTCTCTTCTGCCACCTTCTGCATGACAGGTCACAAAAAGCAGTCCTAACACCACCCACCTGGCTGCCTGCCTTGTTCTCCCACCCAAAGGGACTTTGGCATTCTTTCAGACACGTCTTGGCTCCACAGAGCCCCAAGGACTTGCCACTCTCTCTCATGCACCCATCCCTGCCACTCCACTCAGGAAAACTAAAAAAAGGATGGAATTTGGAGATCAGGTCTCATACTTCTTCCCTCTCTTCCCCCAAGCAGCAGAGACACTGTCCCTCCAGGGAAAGGCAGGCCCTGGCAGCAGGCAGAACTCTATCAGTCAGTGCATGAAATTGCAAGGAAGAAAGCACCCAGTCTGACACACAAACACACACTTCATTAATGTGTTTTGCTTCATTTTCTGTTAAAAACATTTAGTTTCCTTCAGAGCTATGGTTTTAACAACCTCTACTGCTACCACGTTGTTTGTTTCAAAGACACTTCAAGGCATCCCAGAACACACAGTAAAAAATGCAGGTGGGAAATAAAACCTGATAAATGAAACTGCTTTTACATAATTACAAAAACCTAACCCTAACTGTACTAATATACTTATTACTGTGCTGTTGAGAACCCACTGGTGGAGCAGAAATGTAACATGGGTGAATAAGCAACATAAAAATGTTTTTAAATCCATCCTTGGATCCCTGGAAACCCACGTGTTTCCTGGCACTCCAACACTTATCAGTTGGCTCAGCTGAAATTACAAAGTGGCAGAGGATATCCATTTCATTATCACCTTCATTCATTATCTTTCATCCTCACTCTGTGAGAAGCAACCCACATACCACCACCCAATACAGGGCACAGTACCATGCTCCCTCTCACCTTTGCCTCTCAATCCAGCCCCAAGGTTTTAGGCATGAGTGGCACAGCTTCAGCATGGGAGCTGAAGGGAATACCCAGCTAAAGTCAGAGCACTGCCCCAGATGTTCAGAATCAGTTGTTTTCACTCTAGAGGGCAACTCAGTTCCTAGTCACATAGCTCCAGCTCAAGGGTACCCCCCAAAGAAAACAGCAGGCTCATCTCTGTCCTTTCAAAGGACTGAAGGCAACTACCCTGAAGACCATCCCATTTTAATGGGACTCAGTGATGTACCTGCTCACAGCTTTCACTTAGCCTTGGCTATGTGGCAGCAGTTCAGAAACACTCCTGTGGAGAAAAAAAAAACCTCCAAATGACAATGAGGATATTGAGTCTGGAGTACTTTCTGCCTTCTGCATACAGGTACAAAGCCTGGCTGTGTCTTGATCATACTAGATGCCTATTTTCCTGGCTATTCCCAGACTTTTTGGTACTCTGGTTTCCAGAGGTTGGAAACTCAGCTATGTGGGATGCAGAAAAGCTTTGGGTTATGCTTCACAACTCTGAAGTTGAGTAAACAGGGAGCAGGATGGCAGGGCACTGCAGAACAGATCCATTCCAGGGCTCACCTGCAGTGCACATGTATGGTGTGTATCTGCTTGTAAAGATCTGTACCTTTTTTCAGAGACAGCCCTATGGATATGCAGCTGATGACTGTGAAGCCACTTTAGGTGTTTCTTTGAGATATCTGTTATCCCTGTGAAAGTGTAAGTGAATGCACAAAATGAATAGAGACAAAACTCATGCTCATGACACCAGAAGACAGAAAATAATGCCAGTTGTGTGGATGAACAGCCTGAATGCTGCTGTTCTACCTTGACCTGGTACCACCTAAAGACAAAATACCAGTCTGTGCAATTTTAAACTAACTTATTTTAAGTGAAAGTGAATAATTAGACTTACATTATGACTATTTGAGCACATATAGCGGTCAGCTGTAATTCCAGTAATGACTAGCTCAAAGTCAGGCCACCTCTACTAGCTTTCATAAAGGGAAATAGGATGGAAAAATCAGTATCTAATACAACACAATTCACTGGAAGGTTCAAAGGACCTCATAATGCGCAATCATGACGTATTCTGCTCTTCGGAACAGTTTGCTCCTAACCCAAACACGGCATTTTCATTTGCATTCTGAAAATAAAGAGTCTGATTTCTTTTATACCTTTCTATGCTATTTAATATAACTGCAGCTGTGTCTCTTGCTTCATGATTTTACACTGAAACCTCCAGTGATGCATACAGTAACTTAAAAATTGTAGAGTAGGATCTTTCCGTGGTACAATTACGTATTCTTTTTTCTTTCTAATAATGGTCCACTTTTAAGAATGCCAGGAGTGGTATAAACTGTCATATTCCAGGGGGTTCTTGAAATCCATGGGAAAAGATAATTAAGAAAGTACACCTCTCTGTCAGGATTGCAAATTATTTCTGCGAATACCCCTGAGATCCGTACTCTGTCTCCTCCACAGTTCTGCCTGCAATTGAGGTTGGTTGAGCTAAGAAAGGTACACAGGCAATAACTAGGTTATTGAGAAGGAAAGCACTATCAAAATCCTGTTAAATAGGTCATTATGGGCCTCGTATAGCTCTTGTGACAAAGCTTAAGGCAAGGATTGCAGTGTACAATGCCAGGACCCTGTAGAGATCTCTGAAGTGATGGTGGTGAAAAGTACTGGAAAGAAAGATGAAATCTACCCTGTCTAAGCTATGGCTAACACCATGAAGGCCAAGATGTTGGTAACTGGCTTCTTTCTTTCTTCAAGGGTGATGCTAACGGAGTTTAAACAGGTATTAACCTGCACAGCTCACCAAATGCTCATGCCACCATTGACCCCCCTGCTTACCTCACTCCTTGTGCTACTGTTGCCTTATTATTATTGTTTTGTGCAATAAACAATACCCTTAGATTATAATTGGTTAATTTATCCATATTTCCAGGAGTAAAAGAAGAACAAATAGACACTGTCCTTTTTGCAAAGATATTTAAGCATGAATAATCAGAACAAAGGATGCCAAGGAAGCAAAAAAGCAGGGGGAAGAAAATCATGTCACCAGCTCTCTTTGATCTTTAGATCATGCCTGAAAAATCTTCTCAACCAAGAAGGAGGCAAGAAAAGCCCAGGGAAATGCTGACTCCAGAGGTTTCAGCTGCTGGAGAATCAGGCTGCTGCCATTATACATGACAAATTCCCATGTGACTTTGGTTTTTCAGACTGATACATGCATACAGCTATGTGCCCCCTATAATACTTTTTATAAGCACTGGTTTTCTCTCACTTAAAGATGGATCCCTTCATTTGAGGAATAAATTAATTCTAGATAATATTAAAAAAAAAGGGAGGAAAAATAATCCAGCATTTAAAACTGTAGTAAATTGTTGCATATGGAGCCGTATTTAATATGAAACAAAGAAGTGTATTTCTGAGAAGCATACACATACACATTTACAGCATTTGAACACGTATTTGCCACAGTCACAATCAGAGCTTACAGAGAAACACAACAGTTATCAAAAATGATTCAACACACTTAATAACATGACTAAGTATACGAACTGTGAACTAGTAATTAGAATGTATAAGATTTGATAAACAAAAGGTTTTTAAATGCCCTGTAAGGATCCGTTCCTGAAACCCCTTTATTATATGAGCCCATCAGCTTCAGGACACCAATACATTCAGTAGGATTGTTTGTGTGAATAAGAATTACTCATGAAGTATAAAGTCTGGCAGGATTAGGCACTGAATGTAAGCTCTTTCACAAATTTTTATTTAAAGTTAGAAAAGAAAGAAAATCAGAAGTTTTATTCTTGCTTAGCCCAAGGGCAATACATTATCAACCCACAACTCTGTTGGTTTTTCTGGTTTTAACTCCAGACCATAATACAAGTACAAAGAAATACAAGAATAAATATCTAGGACTGAGATGTGCTCTCATTTCACCAAGGTGAATTTGGGCAGGCTCCTTTGATTTACCTCAGCACAGCCGAGAAGAACATTTCCCTTCCATCTAGCCAGGCATTGCTCCCATTGCAGAGCTCCTAACAGCAGTCTACAGAACAAATTCAAGTCCTTCTGCATCCAGAGGAAGCCTTCACAGCATGAAGCCTCATAAAACCACCAGGAGAGGCTGAACTTAGAAGAAGGGTTTTAGGGAAACACTAAATTTAATACTAAACCAAGAAATATTTTAGTGACATTTACATTGAAGAATATACACACAAAAGGGGAGAATCACAACCTAGAATTATCAAATGCTGGAACTCTCAAAAGCACAGAGGATATGCTGCTTCTGCTCGCAGCAAGTAAAGAAAAGGTTGTGCATACTGTGCATTTCCAAGCCTCAAAGGACCTAACCTTTTGTTTCTAAATCAGTAGGTATAAAAAGGAGCCTTATACCTCCTTCAAGACTAATTCAACTAGCCACAAAAAGACTTTCTACAGCAAAACGTATAGCAAAATGCATCTCTTTCATATGTAATCCTGATCAGCTTCCCTAACCCATACATATTTTCAAAGGTTTTCACTGGTTTTAGAGTCATAGTCAGTAGATTTCTTCCTGAAACACTTCTGATGACTTTGCAGACATCTAGTAACATTAAGAACTGCAGCTCAAAGGCAAACCTGAATAAATGACCTTGAAAAACATGAGAGACAAGAACACGACAAGAGAAGTATTCTAGGTATGGAAACTATATAGCAAACTGACTGTATCTGGACTAGAACTGGTATGACTGGAGATGCTCCTGCCCTCTTGTAAGCTGAAGAGTCCCTAAGGTTCTGATGTGGTACCATGACTTCCCATTAATCAGCAAACACAACTTCAGCAGAATGACAAGCTGGAAAAGATAATAAAACTTGGCTGGAAACTAAGACTTCATATAATGTCACAGGAACTGTCTCCATGATTAAATGTAACAGGGTCAAGATTTTACTGTGTGCTTCTAGATATTGAAAGACATTGCATAAATGATATCATTCAAAGTAAGTATACCCATACACATCAATAGAAACCACAAACAAGTTTCCTGCAGCTTCACTGATTGCTTAGGTCTGGCAGGTAAGAGCAGTCATTATTCTGAGCATGTGGATAAGCTCAGAACTAGGTCAGTGTGCATTATTATAAAACAAATTTAACTGCTCAGCTGACCAACAATGTCTTGCAGCCTGGAAAGATGGTAAAAGGTCCAGTAATGATAACAAAGTGGTACCAGCCTGTCCATGGAGACACATAGCAAGTCCCTGCCATCAAAAAATAATTGCATATTTACCACAAGAAAAAAATTAAAAGA